TTTTTGTTCGAAACAGCCGGAATAGTTCAATGAAACACAGTAGTTATATATGTTGCGTTTTATACAGAGCCTGTCAAAAAACCATCAGAACCTAAATTTAATTTTACAATACAAATCGCAATAAAAAAATCAGCATGAAATTCAATTAAATTAAATAAAAAAAAAAGCCAAACTAATGTGATAACTCCATGCAACCAAGAACGCATGACCAATTCCACACAGGGAAATCAAAGACTTGATCAATTCCATCAACCTTGCCCTAATCGAAAGAATAAAAGTTTTGTGCAATTACAATGATAAAAAAAGGGTCGGGTTTATCAAAGAAGCAGCCGAGCCACAGAGAGAGGGGGGGAGAGAGGGAGACATACCTGGGCTGTGTCGATGGCGGTNTCCGGTTTATCAAAGAAGCCGCTGAGCCACAGAGAGAGGAAAGGGGCAGAGAGAGGGGGGAGAGATACCTGGGCAGTGTCGATGGCGGTGCGTGAAAGGGCATCGTGGCAATTTCGTTATGATGAGGCAGTGCTGAGATAGAGAGGATGCGGAGAATGATGAGAGAGAAGAGAAGAGAGGGGTGACGAGAGAAACAGGGGAGATCGGAAGGATATCGTACATGTTGGGGGGCTGTGAGTGGCGGTCGATACGGTGAAGAGAGTGGAGGGAGAACGAGAAGAGAGAGGAATAGTGTCAGAGAGAAACAATTGAATTAGCTGAGAGGGAGAATATTTGGGTGTGATGTCTAATTGAAATAGGAAAGCAGAGGAGAGAGAGAGAGAACTCAGAGAAGTATTTGAATTTAGAAAGCACATGGGAGAAGATCTGTAACGCAGGCGAGAAGATTTAGTGCCGTTATTATTAGGCGCGATTTAGGCTAAGTAAAAGGTGAATTGCATTTTATACCCTCAAAAATTTAATAATTCTTATTTTATACTCTCAAAAATTAAATTTCTCATATTTTTCCATCAACGTATTAAAAGTTATTACAATATAATCCTGTAGTTAGTTTTTCAAGTCATTCCATCAACTTTATTAAGATGATTTTGACGAAATAAGCAACTAAAGGAAGTGTAAGAACCATCATTGTTATATTTGTGTATTATGACCACATAATAAATTATAGTGGTTATAGTAATCGATGATAACAATAGAAGTGTGTGTTACGTGCATACAAACTTTAAAGAGTCTTAAATGTAATATTTTAAATATAAAGGATTTAGATGATTAAATGACAAATCTATGAAGTCAAATTATAATTAATGAAATATCTTCTACCTTCAATTTGAGCATTTTGGTTTTTTATTTGCTTTTATTAGTTACATTGCTCAATCGGTATTGATGAGGGGTCTGAGCATAATATTCTTAATATAAGAGATTTATGTAATTAAATGATAAATTTCAGTTAGTCTAAGTATAATTTATTTAAAATTGATTAAACTATCTTGATATTCTTACCATGGGAGTCTTTAACCAAAAAATAATTTATATAATATTTTTATTTCACTAGTCAATTTTAGATTTATTAATTCTGAACATGCTTATCAAATTGGGCATAAAATCAATACAGCGGTAATTATTAATATTATTTTTTAAAATATTATTATGAAATTTATATTTATCTCTTTTGCATTATTGATCTTACGTTAAAAACGAAATCAAATAATATATAGAGTTTAATAGACTCTCCGTGTAAATGTTTATCTACGTGGATCAATTTACACATTTCCTCATAGCCTTGGGGTCGTGTCTCGAACTCATGTGTGCAAAATGTAAGGGACTAGTTCTTATGGGAATTTTTTTGTCTAAGTCTATGCTTTATGACAAAAGGAGAGTACCCTAAAATGAAGATTGGGAGAGTAAATCAAAATTCTCGTGTGGGGTATTCTGAAGGTGTAACCTATGCATTGAAAAAATGGTTCGAGAGTTCAACTATAGGAGAGATCAATTGGTTCACCAAAACCCAACCCAATGTCACACGTTTTCTAGGTTTGAAGGGATCTGTATCAATAGTTTTGTTTTTAATTTTATCAAGTTCGAATGGTAAACAAATGGACCCTTTTGACCTCTAAAAAAATAGATCGACATAAATTTAGTTAAACACAACACGAACCCAATTTGACATGAACATATTTTTACATGATACGCCTTACACTCAACAAAATAAGACACTATATGAATTATTGACGATCCTATTCAAATTTTATAAAAAAATATTCAAAATAAAATTGTTAAAAATTACATCAAAATCAACTATCTTAAGTCTATACTCCGGTCATTCTGGTCTTTTTAGCAACCCAGCACTAACCTCACAAATAAATTATCTCATATACTCATTTTTTTTGCACAAAAGTTCATCATTTAAATTGCCTTGATTAAATTCAAAATGGCTAGATATAATTGATGCATCGACCTAGTGCCAAAAATTAGCTAATAGAAAGTAGTCAAAATTTGAATTTATCACTGCTCATTTCTATCACATCACTTATTCTATTATAAGTTAAGTCATTTAATTTTTGATTAATTTTTTGCTCAAAATACAATTTTTATTTTTAATATTATTTATACATGATTGTGTAAACATGTTGATATTTTTTTAAGTCATGTATTATCAATTTTTGTTTTAAAAAATAATTGGTAGAAATAAATTTTAAGTTATACAATTTTAGATTTTTGTTTTGATATAATAAGATCGATTTTTTTGGACGTTCAAATTTTATTACACCCTGTCTTGAAGACACGGGTTATTGCTAGTTGACACGTATCCTCTCTCTTTTTAGACTGACTTCTTAATGGATTAGATTTGTGTTGTTCATGGATTCGAATTCGATTTGACAAATTTGATCCGATTATTTGAATATCCAATTCTAATAAATTAATTAGAGTTTATGTAATAAATTACATTTGAATTCAACTCAATATTATCAAATAATTACCAAATTACATAATATATTTACATATAGTCTTATACAATTTGAATTGGATTATTATAGAATCAGATAAAAATAAATTCAAATTCGATGCATGAAAAAAAATGTATGATTCATATTCAGGTTTGAATAATTGATTAAAAAAATTAATTCATATGTAACTTAATATATTTGAACATAGGTCAAATTTAAATTATAATATGACAGACCTAATTATAGGTGTCAACTAAGAACTCTAAACAAGCTTATACTTCTCTTAGAAAACAATTGAACTAAAAGAAGCTCTTTAATTACCCCGATGTTCACACGAGGAGATGAATAAAAAGTTTAAAATCCCAAAAATTCAATAATGTCAACATAATAAGCTTGGACCTCCTTTTAAAAGCATGGATTTAATGGCCTTTTAAAACATATTTGTGAGGCACATGCCACTTCAATCAAGGCCTGTATGAGGAGAGACCTTGGAGACACGACAGGACAGTATAGTTTAAAGCATAAGCTTCACGTTGGCTATTTGAAAAACTACTACGTTTGCTAGTTGTAAAACTATTAGGGTATTTTTGGTATATTTTTTGGAAGGGATTTGAATTGATTTGTCTAAACCCTTCAAAGATAAAATTCAAAGATGAGATTTAATATTTAATACTGTCAATACTCATGTTTGGTATGCGCAGAGATATATAACTATTATGATAATATATTTGCATATAAATGAATATTGTGTCTTTTAACCAATTTAATCCAAACTTATGTTAAATGTCTATAGGGGGTATAAATGTCATTTAAATATTAAACTCAATAACCTACATATAAAACCCATGAACTTGGGTTTCATGACCGAGCCTAAACTAGGCTGGGTTTCAAACCTTGAGTTAGATGTGTATTTACCAAACACAGGTTTGAGGGGGTTTATTCCTCAACCCATGTTCCAAAATCCTCCAAACCCACATACCAAACATACCCTTAGGGATTTATCTTTCAAGTAGAAACAGGAATGAATTGTAAATGTAACTTTTTTAAGTTTGAATTTTGGTAATTACTTGGGATTAAGCCATGAAAGATTTATTTATCATAAATACCTTAATCCCGACATTGACCGGGTCAAAAAACTTGGGCAATCAGTATTAGAAGACGTTTATGTTCTTTCTCCGTTGAAGTTGAGAGTCGACCACAATGATTAAGATCAAGTTGACTTCTTTCATACTTTTTCTAACATATTTTGAATTGAACCGGAAAGAGAATTAGTCAAGGTGTGTGATGATACACAAAAGTGGATTTATGCACAATCAAAGTGTACGATTCAGGATAATTAATAAAACAATCGATAAAGAAATTAATAAAAGAGACAAATATTAGATCAACACAGGCAACACACAGATGTATAGTGGTTCGGTTAGGGTAACCTACTCTAATTTGAAGGCGACAATGATGGCCGGTGGTCTTTATTGATAAAGTAATAGGTGAGAAAGAGAGAGAGAACGCACAAATGTATGTTCTTGATAGTTATAAGAGAGATAACTGTATAAGGTGTGTAAAGAAATGTCCTTCTTATATGGAGAGGGGTTACAGTTTATAGCTATAGAGCTTTGATTGAGGCGGTGGCGTGAAAGGATGGGTGAGTAGTCATTTGGAGTGGATAGCTAAGGATTAGTACATTCAGAGATAGTCTTGAACTGAAGAGTGACTATCTCGATAATTATTTTTCACATGTGCTAATTTTCTTGGATTTTTTAAACTTTGGACTAGGCCGGATCTATGAGCTGAGTTTGAGCTACTTCATAGCTGATTTGGGTTTACTGCATAAATTGCGTCTGGACCTAGTTATCAGTAATATCTTGCGAGAAAAAGTAGGTAAGTTCAACTTGCCTCTAAGAACTTGCAATCTTGAGGGACCGAAAATGAAAATTTCCAACAACGTACACATACATTTAATTTCCTGACCCAACGGCTTTTGCGACCCTTGATGAAAGTGTCTTGAAGTTCCACCTAATTTGATCACTTACATTCATCCATGAGGTGGTATTGAAGCACTGCTATAAGAAATCCATGAATTATATGGGGAACATCTTGACCCCTATTCATCAATTGTAATGAGAAAAAAAAAAAAAAGAAGTGCTCCAGAATTTTATATATATCCTATTCATTCATTCATTCATCACTGAGATTGCAGTGTAGCTATCTCCTCCCTCACTATGTCTGCATTCTCTCTCTTCTCCCTTGTCATTCTATTGCATGCTCACTTCACCTCCTCTGTACGCCTTCTAATGCAGACACCAGCATCAACCAGATGGTAAGAACCTATTGTCAGCTTCATTTTCCATGAAAATGTCTACAATTTTTATCCCCAATACTCAAAGTCGCAGAAATAACTTTTCTGCATGTAGGGTGAGGTTGTGTATATCTGATTTTGTCCGCTAATGGCAAAGAGCCTCGTGACTTGACCAGTTCTTTTTTTTTTTGTGTGTGCATGTTAGGAGCTCGATGAAAAACACAACAGAGCCATCACGGACAGAACCATGTAGAACTGGCAATCCTACTGATGACTGTTGGAGGTGTGACCCTGACTGGGAAACCAACCGGAAAATGCTAGCCGATTGTGCAATTGGGTTCGGACGCAATGCCATTGGTGGCCGGGATGGCGAATTTTACGTTGTGACGGATGCAAATGATGACCCGAAGAACCCAAGTCCAGGGACACTCCGGCATGCTGTTATCCAGTATGAACCTCTATGGATCATCTTTGATCATGACATGGTCATTAATTTAAAAGAAGAGCTTATAATGAACTCTTACAAGACCATAGATGGAAGAGGGTCTTACATTGAACTATCACATGGACCATGCATTACCATACAAAATGTGACTAACATTATCATTCATGGTATTTACATACATGATTGTGTACCAGCTGGGAATGCCATAGTGAGGGACAGACCAGATCATTATGGACCAAGAAGTATTTCTGATGGGGATGGGATTTCGATTTTTGCGGGGAGGGATATTTGGGTTGATCATTGTACACTAGCAAATTGCAAGGATGGACTCATTGATGCAGTGTATGGATCAACAGCCATTACCATATCAAACAATTACATGTTTCACCATAATGAAGTCATGCTTTTGGGTCATAATGATGATTTTCTCGCTGACAAGAAAATGCAAGTCACTATTGCCTTCAATTACTTTGGGGAAGGTTTGGTTCAAAGAATGCCCAGGTAACTAAAATATCCAATTAGCCAAGTTGCTTCCAATTTTTTTTTTCTTCTAAAATTTCAGTGCAAAACTCAAATGTTTTCGATTGTAACAGGTGCAGACATGGGTACTTTCATATTGTAAATAATGTATATACTGGCTGGAAGATGTATGCTATAGGAGGGAGTGCCAATCCAACCATCAATAGCCAAGGAAATGTCTTCATTGCAGCAGATGACATCTCTACCAAGGAGGTAATCAAATTTCTCTAATGCCCCCTTCTTTCTACCCATTCAAACACTGTCCATGTAGCAAAACACCATCTTCCCTGTTCCAAAAACAAACGCCCGGGGGCTCCCTGGGATGAGAGTAACAAGAAAGAAAGTGTTGCAGGATGCCATGTTATGTTCACTTTTCACCTAGATCAACCCATATTGAAAGTTTTAAGTAATTTTAAGTCTATGCACTAGGTCAGTGGTGACCACAGCAACAGTACTAATTAAACCTCTACTTCCATGATTTACAAGTTTTTTTTTCTCAAGATTCAGTTTTTTTTTCAGGTGACCAAACGCGAAAACCCGTTGGGATACGATGATTGGAAGGCATGGAATTGGAGATCAGATGGAGATCTGATGCTGAATGGTGCTTTCTTTAAACCTTCTGGACAAGACTCTCCAGGAAGCTATGCAAGAGCATCAAGCATGGTGGCAAGGCCAGCGTCACTTCTAACAGATATTATTCCTTCCGCTGGAATTCTAAATTGCAAGATAGGCCAACAATGCTAAAAATCTTGGCAATCAGATTTTCATTGTAGTACATCAGTTTGGTTTTTTTTCCTAATAAGGAATCAATTGAAAAGCTGTTGTAACCCTGATTGTTTTTAAGTTAAATGTTAAAAGTGTATCTAAATTTCCAATCACATGTCGCATTCAACATTACAATTATGATCCAATAACGAAGGAATCATTTATGCACATGTAATTACTGGATTAGGTATGATATGAGTATATAGGGGCTACGTCGTGTATATAAGACAATGTTATTAGGTTGTGAAGTGATGTGTTAATAATGATATAGTATCATCATTATTGAAGATTCATGCCATCTCAAGACAGCTTTAGAAACATGTTAAGCTGACTAAACTCCCATTAAACTGTTTTTTCATGTTTTGCTCTGGAGACCAAACTTCTCAACAAGCTTTAAATGATAGGAGCAGAAAGCAGATTGGCATTGCTTATTTTGGGTAGTGTCCGTTCCACCCAAAAATATTGTCTGCTAACCCAAAAAATATTGCCTACTGTCCCAATCATGCATTAATCCTTGTAGGTTTTTCCCAATGTTTTGTGCCAATCATTTATGGTTAATCATATGTATTAGGATTTCTCAGTGGATCTACTTCTCTATGAGATTGGTCTTGCTTTGTCAAAGGATCAATTGGGTCTTCCTGTATTGCGTAAAAAGAAGACAGTGATATTTGATGATAATGGCTGAATTGTTCAAATGTTGATTTGTTTGAAATGGGAGCCTATACGAATTGCTGACTTCGGATTGATACTGCCTTGCTGGGAGCTTACAAATTTTGTCATATTTGAGTTCTTTTGGTGATGTTCAAGAACTTTGGTTGGAATTTTTAAAGTTTTTTGGTTGTTTCTTGTTATGGAAAGGCGTTTGTGCCTTATCCTTTGCTTTTTGTAAATGGTCTTCCATTTGTGAATAAAATAAACTTTTTCCTAAAAAAAAAAAAATCATATGTATTAGGATTTTATGTCATAATCACTAGTCAAAAATGGTAGACCAATTTTCTATTAAAGAAAAATATTCACAAGAGGGTGTATTATTGCAAAAAAATACTGTGCGTGCAAGATCCTGCATAATATAAAAAACGAGAACAAATCTCTCCCTTGGTGAACTTGAGTGAGCCGGTTGAGTGACCAACCACGCTGCTTGGAACAGCCTGCGAGGTCCGGTGGTAACCTGGAACGGCAACGGGAGACCCTGGGGGAGCGGAAGAACGATCCAGTAAGGCTGAAAGAGGTTCCTGGAACAAAAAAGAACAAGTTAGAAGGGCGTCGGAGTGTTTTTCGGCGTATCCCCTCCGACGATCTAGTCAGTCTTTGAGAAAGAGAGAGGAAGGAGAAAACACTGAGTGTGTATTGTAGTAAAGAGTTTTTTGTTGCATACCCGTCTTGCCTTTTGCAAGGAGTATTTATACCTCAAAAGCTCATGATTGCTGTCAGTGTAGTCAGTAGGTGATCATTAGGTACAGGCAGTGTGCGCACTGATTCTGATGAGGAATGTCTTCTCTTCTTAACTGCTTGGGGTCCCGAGCAATCAATGCTGGGTCATCGGGATGCCGACGGTACAATGTACTCCTCTCGGGGAGGATGCAATAAATGATCTGTATTAGGAGCATTTATTGTCTTTCATTTTCGAGCCTTACCGCATTGAATGCGGTCTCATCAAGGGAATGGTGTAATTAATCGTTTGCTTTCCCAAGTTGCGTGTCAGCAACGACATGCGATTTCTCTATCTTCGATGTGATATCATATGCCACGCGTTCATCCCCCATTGGTTGTGGCCCCTGCATTCCAGTACGTTCTGACACTAATTGTGTAAGATGAGGTCATGATGAATAGCCTAGACTAGCCTAGGCTAATGACCTGTACATCAATAGCTTATCCTCGAGTAGAGGAGGCGTCCAGGACGGGTACACCTCGGCACCGAGGAAAGGCTCATCTCGGAACCGAGGGAGGGATATCGACCGAGGTACCATATCAGACCGAGGCTACGTGTTGGTTGTAAAACGTACTGAATGCCACGATCCTATATGACGAGTACCTCGGGGGCGAGGACCTTTATGCGCCGATGGTGCTTGATCTTAGCAACAGTGTTTTGGTAAATACTGAAGACACGTGTCTTCATCATGGAATATTTCAAAAAAGTCCTATCAACTGCCCCCCAGCCTTCGATCTTCTGACACCGAGGGCACGCGTCGTAAGGAGACGAAAGGTTTCCCAACAACCACCAATGCTTCATCATTGCCTCGAGCCGCTTTCCCCGGCTTAGGATGTCGTGTGTATTAAATGCGCCGTTTCGTTTTTCNGTTTCCCAACAACCACCAATGCTTCATCATTGCCTCGAGCCACTTTTTCCGGCTTGGGATGTCGTGTGCATTAAATGCGCCGTTTCGTTTTTCGAGCCCAATGATGAAATTGCCTCTATATAAATGGAGCTCCTCTTCTGTTTTCTTGTTTCGCCATTTCGAACTTCCTTAAGAGAGCCTTTTCCTGAATCTTCGCCGGAGATCTCTTTCCTCTTCCATCGTCGACTGCCCATTCTTCCTTAAAGTCTTAAGGCCAGCAGACCCATCGTTGCTTCTGAACTTTCTGGAAGGAGTCGCCTAAAGTTTTCCAGAAAAAACTCCGTTTGGCATTCGGGTGAGTCCTAGTTTCTTTCTTCTTTTCTTCCTCCTATCCCTTTTTGTTTTCCGATGACTGGAGGTGTCTCCGGTTGATACTTAGCGACTAATCCTCGGGAAGCTTCCTCAGGGATTTTTAAGAAAAAACACCCTCCACTTTCTCACTTTCTTAGAGATGCCTCGTCGTCGCCCTGCTCCCGAGAATCCTCAGGCTGGTTCTTCGGGGTCGGGGAAGTATAAAGTAAAGGGTGGTGAGCAGATTAATAGGTTTAAGGTCAAGTACGGCATTCCCCCGTGCGTAGACATAGGATTATGACTCGGTGGTGCACCTTCCTACCCTCGGGGCCGAGGATGCTATGCCATTTTATACCAAGGCCATAATAGAGGGAGGAATTAGGTTTCCTTTACCCCCTTTACTTCTTCAGTTCCTCTCTCACTTCCGCCTCTTCCCTGGGCAGTGTTGCTTTAATGTCTTCAGAATTATTATGGGGGTCTTAGAGCTCAATAGGCGCCTCGGGGTAAATATCGGGACTGAACGATCTCCTTTTTTGTTATGCCCTCTTGAGAGTCATGTCTCACCAACACTTCTACCTCAAAGCCAGGGACCCCTCCATGTACCTTGTAACTCATCTTCCCGACTCGGACAAGGGGTACAAGGACGATATTCTTATTTTCAAGGAATCTTGGTAGAGAGGTTTTGGTCCCGAGTATAACGGCTTGTTATGCCCTCTGCAATGGAGAACGACAAGTACGTCGGTTCCTTCGGGTTTATTATTTTGTTCTCCAGACTTCCGATGCTCATGACTACTTTTTTGTTTGTGCAGATATCTCTGCTCGGGAAACAGCTCCTCCCCCTCGGTCGCTGGTGAACTTTGCCGACCTAGTCACGGTTTGGAGATTTACTGGTGACAACGGGTTCGGCCGGGCTGCCCACATCCTGCTGAATTACACCCCCGGGTATAAGAAATTTTCACAGCTTCCTCAGCCTTTTGAGCCTTCGCAGTGGTCTGAACTCTTCGATCAGGCGGCGAGGCAAGAGGTCGAGAAAAACTTGGAAGAAGACCCTGATCGGGCTTCGGAGGCAGAGGTAGAGGGAGTTGTTGAAGAGCTCGGGGTCAGAGAGGACGTTGTTCCTTCGGACGCCGAGGTGGGGACTTCAGGAGGAGACTTGTGGCCAGACTTCCAAGTTCTTCAATCTTTAGACGCCGAGGACGCCCTCGAGGTAGCGATGTCCAGCACCCCTCGCATTGATCTGGGTTTCCTGAGGCAGAGGCAAGCCCTTGCAGCCGGGAGGGGTCGAGGATCGACCGGCGGCGCCCCCTCTGCAGGGACCAGTTCCACCCCATCCTCAAGAGTTCTCAGTCGGGGTCAAGTGCGTGACCGGGATCCTCAGGTAGAGGAGGAGAGAAGGGTCAAACATAGGCACGATGGCCTCGGCAGGGGATCCAGGGCACCTTCCGCTCAGCAGCAAAGCGGGAGAGGCCGTGGGTTACCCCCTGCTCCTCCACAACAGCAGCAGCAGCAACAGCCACGACAACAGCAACAACAGCAGCAGCAGACTCCCCCTTCCCTTCCGCCGACAGTGGAAGCCGCGGAGTGGAATCCCCGAGCCACCGATCACATGAACCGAGTGATCAGGGTCGATGATTCCATTTTGCTGGATCCTCATGTCGCCAATGCAGTGAGTGAGACACTGCATTTCGAGGCTGACATGGCGGCTCACAGGGGGCGATCAACGAACGTGTTGTTCCGCTCTATCATCCAGAATTCCCTGGTGGTAAGTTCATTTTTGCTTTGGTTTCTTCTCTCTCGCTTTCCATTTTTGTGATACGCCTTTTTCCCTCCTTTGCAGGCTACCCAGCAGATCTCCATAATAGCTGCGCGGTACCATGGGTCTAGGATGGACCTCCAGCGGGCCCGAGATCAGAAGGAAGAGGCGGAGGGGGCCCTCGCCCGAGCAATGGAGGATGTAGCTGCCAGGGACTCTACCCTGGCGGGGCAGGCTGCTCAAATCGAGCAACTCCTCAAGGATGCCGAGTCGGCTAAGGTTGGCGCTGAAAAGCTAAGTGCTGCCCTTGCCGATGCTGAGGGGAGGATCACCGAGCAGACGCGGCGGCTTTCTGCCGCGGAGGAAAGGGCGGTTGGCTCAGAGGAAAGCTGTCTGGCTCTCACCCAGGAGCTGGATAGGATCAGAGCTGAGGCACTGAACAGAAAGTCGAAGGAGCAACTCCGGGAAGAGTTCGCCGATGACATGTTCCCTACTCTTGAGGAAAACAGCAAGGAGTTCTTCAAGAAAGGGTGGGACGAGGCGCTCAGGTCTGCTGGAATCCCGTCAGACTCTCCACTCTTCCAGATGCACAAGTATGTGCCCTCGGCAGAGATGGAACGGGCTGAAGCAGAGATTGCTGCCGAGGATGAGATCCCAACGCCGGTGCAAGTCTCGGCGGATCCGCCCGAGACAGTGATAGTGGATTTGTCCGAGGACGCCCCGTCGGACCATGCTCCTGATCCTCAAGTTGCCCAAGGTCTCCCTGTTGCCGAAGTACCTCTCCTGCCTGCTCCAGAAGCTTCTCAACCATTTTTTGCTGACTCGCCCTCGGCTGATGTTCTGGAGATGCCNTTCTCAAGGTCCCTCTGTTGCCGAAGTACCTCTCCTTCTGCCTACTCCAGAAGCTTCTCAACCTTTTTATGCTGACTCGCCCTCGGCTGATGTTGTGGAGATGCCCGGGGCCAGATGAAAGCCCCTTTTTCTTTTTGATTGTACTCTTTTTTCTTTTGTAGCCTTTGGGGACGCAAAACCCCTCTTCTTGAAATAAATCATGAGTACTTCTTCCTTTTTTGCGTACAGTAGTGTTTTGTTTTTTTTTTTTTGGGAACTGTCTTTGGGGCTGCTCGCCCATTCAAGAGGCACGCTCTTGTGTTTGCTTCCAAGAGTCCTTGAACTCTGTCCCCAGGGCCTTGCCCTTCCAGGAGGCTTGCTCCTGTATATGTTTCAGGGACAGGAGCCCTTGAACTCTGTCCCCAGGGCCTTGCCCTTCCAGGAGGCTTGCTCCTGTATATGTTTCGGGGACAGCAGCCATTGAACTATGTCCCCAGGGCCTTGCCCTTACAGGAGGCTTGCTCCTGTATATGTTTCGGGGACAGCAGCCCTTGAACTCTGTCCCCAGGGCCTTGCCCTTCCAGGAGACTTGCTCCTGTATATGCTTCGGGGACAGAAGCCATTGA